AATCTCATATTCATCACAGGGCTTAAATAAAATTTCAAGATCATAGGAAGAATTGCCCCAATCATGATCATTGCAACAAATAGTAGTCATAGCAAAACTAGCATCCCCAAGCTTGAGGTTTTGCATATCATTAACACAATTGACATTAAGAGAATTTATAATAAGATCATTGCAATCATGCTTTTGATTCAAGGAACTATCAAGTATAGCAATAATCTCATGTTTAACATAAGGAACTATAGCAAATTCACCTCCATAAATATTGGCATCATGGCCACAAGAATAGAAAGCATCATGTTCATCAAGGGATATTTCAATCAAATCATCGGAATCATCATTATCTATAGATTCATGCATATCATTATTTTTCTTCCAAAGCTACGATCATTCTCTCAATAAATTCTTTGACATAGACATTATGAGTATAGTTTTCATAGCAATATTTAAGTATGTCAAAATTTTCAGATTCGTAGAGAGTAATATCATACTTTTCAATGAAAGAAGCAACTTCATAAGCACCCTTAAAAGCCACAAATTATTCAATTTGTTTGATATCATAGTAACTATAAACACCCTTTGCATAAGAAGATAAGATTTCATTATCATTAAACTCACATAGGCAGGGAAGGTGTTTTTAGGGTTCTTAGAGCAATAAGTAAAATCTTAAATTTCACAAAGATTCCAAGCATAACACATCAATCTATTTATTTGATCCCATAAGAGTCTCCCTTTTTCAGACAAACAGTGACGCACAAAATGAGCATGCTCATCTAAAGATTTCCCATCAACTAGGCTAGTTGGGGTTTCAGCACGAGCGCATAAGGATCGAAGATGATCCAAGTAGAACACTTTAAGTGGATCCATAACAATAGATTTTTAGCAAGCAAAGATGCAAGCACATAGAAGGCACGTGGAGACACAAGCAAACATAAGATCGAACAAAAGAGGGGCGAAGAAAAGGCAAAGGTGAAGTGGGGGAGAGGAAAACGAGAGGCAAATGACAAATAATGTAATGCGAGGGATAAGAGTTTGTGATGGGTAATTGGTATGTCTTGACTTGTGCGTAGACCTCCCTGCAACGGCGCCAGAAATCCTTCTTGCTACCTCTTGAGCATGCGTTGGTTTTCCCTTAAAGAGGAAAGGGTGATGCAGCAAAGTAGCGTAAGTATTTCCCTCAGTTTTTGAGAACCAAGGTATCAATCTAGTAGGAGGCTACACGCAAATCCCTCGTACCTACACAAACAAATAAGAACCTTGCAACCAACGCGATAAAGGGGTTGTCAATCCCTTCACGACCACTTGCAAAAGTGAGATCTGATAGAGATAATAAATAATTTTGGTATTTCTATGATATAGATTAGAAAATAAAGATTGCAAAATAAAATAAATCAGAAACTTATATGATGGAAAATAGACCCGGGGGCCATAGGTTTCACTAGTGGCTTCTCTCAAGATAGCATAAGTATTACGATGGGTGAACAAATTACTATCGAGCAATTGATAGAAAAGTGCATACTTATGAGAATATCTAGGCATGATCATGTATATAGGCATCACGTTCGCGACAAGTAGATCGAAACGATTCTGCATCTACTACTATTACTCCACACATCGACCGCTATCCAGCATGCATCTAGAGTATTAAGTTCATAAGAACAGATTAACGCATTAGGCAAGATGACATGATGTAGAGGGATAAACTCAAGCAATATGATATAAACCCCATCTGTTTATCCTTGATGGCAACAATACAATACATGCCTATCTACCCCTGCTGTCACTCGAAAAGGACACCGCAAGATTGAACCCAAAGCTAAGCACTTCTCCCATTGCAGGAAAGATCAATCTAGTAGGCCAAACCAAACTGATAATTGGAAGAGACTTGCAAAGATAACAAATCATACATAAAAGAATTCAGAGGAGATTCAAATATTGTTCATAGATAATCTTGATCATAAACCCACAATTCATCGGATCTCGACAAACACACCACAAAAAGAATTACATTGAATAGATCTCTAAGAAGATCGAGGAGAACTTTGTATTGAGAATCAAAGAGAGAGAAGAAGCCATCTAGCTAATAACTATGGACCCGAAGGTATGTGGTAAACTACTCACACTTCATCGAAGAGGCTATGGCGTTGATGTAGAAGCCCTCCGTGATCGATTCCCCCGCCGGAAAAGGCCTCAAGATGGGATCTCACGGGTACAGAAGGTTGTGGCGGTGGAAATAGGGTTTCGTGGTGCTCCTGTATGTTTTCAGGGTATAAGGGTATATATAGGCGAAGGAAGTCGGTCAGGGGAGCCACGAGGGGCCCACGAGGGTGGGGGGCGCGCCCTCCTGCCTCGTGGATGCCTCGTTTCTTTCTTGACGTCCACTCCAAGTCTCCTGGATTGCGTTTGTTCCAAAAATAACTCTCCCGAAGGTTTAATTCCGTTTGCACTCCGTTTGATATTCCTTTTTCGGGAAACACTGAAATAGGCAAAAAACAACAATTTGGACTGGGCTTCCAGTTAATAGGTTAGTTCCAAAAATAATATAAAAGTGTATAGTAAAGCCCATTAAACATCCAAAACTGGTAATATAATAGCATGAAACAATCAAAAACTATAGATACGTTAGAGACGTATCAACGCCGCGGGCGCTTAGCCTCCACGCCCCCGGCACACGCATGTCAGGGGCGCCGGGTACTTGGCCTGGTTGAGGAGGCGCGCCTCCGACTCTTGGAGGTGTCGGCGGCCGAAGCCGTTCGCCGCTGCGCCATCACCTGGGAACCTCTCGGCCATCTTTGCTTTGCTCGTCGGCGGGAAGGGAGGAGAGGGCTTTTTGCGAGGGGGAGGTTGTGGCGTTCACCGGCAGGCAGGGGTCGCCTTTTATAGCCCAGCGGGGCGGCGGGGCGGCGGGGTGGCTGCATGCCGGGCGACGCGTGGCGGGAGCTGGCGGGACGCGCGTCGGCGGCGCCTTCACTGCGCCGCCCGTGAGGCATCAATGGAGGCTGACCGGCGCGGCAGACTTGGCATTGTTTCCCGCGGGAACCGAGGCGATGAGGGTGACTAAGCGGCGTCTCGCTGACTAGACGGGCCCGCCATCGTTCGTGCCAAAACCGCTCGCCCCGGCGCCCCCGGGCGCCCCCCAGCGCGCCGGGTTCGGCCTGGGTCCGCCAGCACTAACTTTGGCTCAAACCGGCGAAAAACGGGCTCTTAGGGGCGCGATTGGGCCGTTTTTTCGGCGCCGACGCGAAAAATCGCCTGGGGGCCCGTGTTGGGGCGCGGTTGGAGATGCTCTAAGATTTAACGTGATCATACCCAGGGCCTGGCCAAGCCCGAAGTGAAAAACCTCCTAGGCTCGACTCAACCCGAAACACCTGAACAAATACAAATTTTCATATAAATTGTTATTTTTGGGCATTTAATATATTATTTTTGCTATTTTTCAACTAAAATAAGTATTTAAACCTCATTTAGTCTTCCAGCCCGGGCTTTGCGCTAAATAAACTAAGCCCAAGCCTGGCCCAGATGTTGGGCTTTCGGGTATGGGCCACCGGCTCGGGCTGCCCATGTGCAGGTCTAGCTAAGATAGCCCCTGGGCCCACTTGTGCGAGAAAAACACAAGACATGTGCACAAACAAGAACATACAAAGAGCGCCACCGTATTGCCTGGCCGTCCGATCTGATCTGAGTCGGAGAGAAAGACCATCAACGGTCAAATCATGTTCCACGTGGAGCCGGATTCACCAGATCCTCTTCGGGGCACGCCAAAAGACCAAATTACCCCCTGTCTACCCTCCACCCCCCACCCCTCTCCCTCTCGCGCTGGTCCCCTCTCCGTGCTGTTCCCCGCTCGCTCGCTCCCTCTCCTGCGCTCTCCGGCGCCGCCCAGAGGACCCCCGACGCCGCCCTCCCCGCGGAACTCCGGCGCCTTCCAGCGCCACCCGACGCTGCTGTTCCCGCGGAGGCCCGGCGCCCCCCGGCTCCCTTCGACGCCGCCCCTCCCCGTGGAGCCCCGGCGCCCCGCGGCCTGCCCGTCCCCGACGCGCGCCGCCCTCTCCCGCGGAGCTCTGACGCCGCAAGGTGAGGGTTCCTTGCTTTCCTTGTATGCTCCTTCGCGTGATTTGTGCAGTCCCCTAATAAACCCTAGGTTTTGTGGCGGAGGTTGATCAATGACATCGTGGGAGGGATGAGATGCTGCTCTATTTCTGGCATGTGAACTTATTTGGGGAATTCAATAGTCACCATGAGAGAAATCTTATTAGTTAATGAGCTATATAAATTTTTATTTTTCTCGGATCAATCGATTTGTTGTTATGTTTAGAGATGTTGTTTCTGTTGTTAGTTTTTGAGGAATTTTGTGCCATAGCCTAGTGAGCTTGCCAATTTCAAGTTAGTTAAGGGGCTGTTTGGTTCCTGCCCTGGCACGTCCCGCCAAATCATGGGCGGCATTGGCGCGCCAAAATATCGGCGAGCGATTTGTCCGCCACCGTTTTGCCAGCGCTTTGGCGCAAAAACAGAGGGGAAAGGCTCAAGCGGGGCTGGCGTGCCAAAAATTTGGATTCCATCCAAACAGGATACGAAGCGCCGGTCAACACCGATATATTGGCTGGGCAGGCAAGGGCGCCAATCCAAACAGCCCCTAAGAGTCTGGACTTGCACTTGGGGAAAGTGATGTGCTGAAGCTCTATGACATTGGCCTTGCAGTTTAGCTACTCCCTCCGATCCATATTAACTGTCCCTCACAATATGGTTCCATACTAATTCAGCGACAATTAATATGGGTCGGAGGGAGTAGCAAAATCTGACACTTCTCTGGTTGTTTGTTTGCGTGTCGTGGACATGGAGGGTTCAATGTCTTTGGAAGATTTCTTACTTTGGAATCAATATTTATGATATGCTGTTCTGTATCCGCAGGTAGGGTTTGACCAAGGGAAAACGGAAACTCCTTCCATGTGAACTGCTGTGATGCATTGCCTAAACTGAGAATCCACCACGTCTTGAGTGAAATCATGGCGCGAAAAGGGGGTCAAAGTAAAAGTGGTCCGAATCTTGCTTCACCTAATCGGCAAAATACAACTAATGGTGATATACTAAATACACCAGAAAGAGATCCAGTGCATGGTGAAGATCCAAGTTCACATCTTCAAGGTAAATCAAATGGTTCTGGAGGGAACACTGGCCAGAAAACAAAAAGCAACAAGAAGAATAACAAAAGCAATGGCACCTCCTTTGGTAAATCTGATGACATAACTTCACATAAACAACAACCAGAAGATATCAGTACTGATATGCAAAATTCAGAAGAACCTGGGCCACCTTTCAGCAGTACCAGACCAAGAAGAGATGGCAAGAAATCCTCACGGCGTGGCTTTGGTAAAAACTCATCAGTAGAACAAACCCCATTGCGTATTTTGACAGAGCAAGTCAAAGAGAAGACCAGGCATGTTACTTCCATGGCTGCATCCTTTTTTAGAACCTCGATGATGTATGTGATGGAAGAAAGCAAAGTATTGGTTGAGAAAAATAGGCCAGCTATCACAGCTTTCATGGCAATGGCGGAAAAAGGGCGTGCCTATGCCCTCGGCAAAATGGAGTATGTTTATCCTATTGCTCGGGCCTGGATGTTTAGTGCTGGAAAGCTGATGTTGCTCTTGTTGACTGTTTGGTTAGACTGCAACATAAGGGGCTTCGATTCTCTGCTTCGTCTGGGGACAAATTCCCTTATTGCAGTACTTTGGTGCAGCATGTTGTCAATTTTTGCAATGATTGGGATAAAGAAAATGCTCATGTTCATGGTATGACCAACTATCTTTTTCTTCTTTTCTAGTTGCCTTCCTGACAATTTAATGTTTACTGTGCTAACAGTGGTTTGGACTTGGTCAACATTTATTTTCTGCACTTTCCTCTCATGAGTGCAAGCATAGTTTCAGTAAAATTTCTGATCACTAGCCTGTTTAGTCCATGCATGTATAGTCTTCTGCAGTTGATGATGCCTTCCTAAGGGTTTATTATGCTCTCTTGCTTGAAACTTTGAATTGTCAAATCAAAGTAGATGTGCTTAATGTCCTGGCAGTATTTTAATATTTGCTATTCTCTCTTTGTGACCAGGTGATTGCTGCTTCTGTGGTTGCTTTTATTGGTATTGGTTTTGCTGTCCTGATTGTCGCGGTGCTTGCAGTGGTGATTTTATGGCTGTATGGAAGCTTTTGGACAACAAGCACTGTAGTAATTGTTGGAGGTCATATTCTACAACTTGTCTACTATTCCTTTGAGACCACTCTTACTAAACATTTCATAGTGTGTAAAATTCACTAACATTGCTTAAAATGCAGGTGCTTCCTTTTTGTTGAAGCATGAACGATTTGCTCTGCTTGTCACCTGCCTATATTCAATGTATTGTGCAAGAAGCTACATTGGATGGCTTGGATTACTTTTGAGCCTGAATTTGTCTTTCTTTTCAACTGATGTTCTAGTCCAGTTCCTGAAGAAAAATGTAGACAATGAAAATGGTTCTTCAAGGAACTCTGATCAAAATTCAGACAGATCAAGCAATTTCTTTGGGGAATTTCAGCAATCATCAAAAGACAGCAGCTCACATTCTGGATATACTCAACCTTCTAATCGTGGCCCTGGTGATCCGTCAACAAGTGGAGCTGAGGAGTTAACCTCTGAAGATGAAGTGGCACGTTTATTGAATTGCGCCGATCACTATTCGGCATTTGGATTTCGCCTGTATGAAATCATAGATGTATCAGTACTCAAGAGAGAATACAAGAAAAAGGTGATGCTAAAGATAAAACGAATGTCAGCTGTATGAGTGCCATATGAATGTTCATATGCTGCAAGGTTTGATTATATCTTTGTTAATTGTGATTACTGATTTTGCAGGCTATGTTAGTCCATCCTGATAAGAATATGGGCAATGATAAAGCTGCTGATGCATTTAAAAAGCTTCAAAACGCATATGAGGTTCACATCCATTCATTGTTGAAATAATTACATATTCAATTAAAATACATCTTTTTATAAGATCATGTATGTATTCATGAGTCTGCAACTGTACACACAGGTTCTTCTTGATTCAGTGAAACGAAAGACATATGACGATGAGTTAAGGAGGGAGGAGCTACTGAACTACTTCAGGCGGTTCCAGGGTGCTTCTCAAAAGGTTTTCCTAGCTATTCCTTACCAAATGATGTTTAATATTTACGCTTTGCTTGTTTTCTCTTATATCTTCTTTCCTTAAAAGTAGTTCCATGCTAGTTGGCTCCTGTGTGAGGGAAAGGTACTCAGTTTAGCTGGACGAGAGAATCACCCTACTGTGATGTTTCAATTAATTATGGTGTATTGACATGTTTTTGAAGTGCATGAGAAGGCTTTGCATTTGAACTATTCAATTTCATGATAGTTCATGTTTTTCAGGTTAACCTGAGAAAAAAAAATTGAAACTGCCAGCAATCACTTTACCACTTACGAGCGGATTTGGATTTGGCTGATTTGTGCTTTGCTGGATTTGCAAAATCGCAATGCATTTTTTTTCATTTGGTCTCAGTTAATTGAGGACAATTTCGAAAGCCTGGCCCAGTAATAGTCATAGTTAGTGGAAGTTGATTTGACCAGTGGTATGGATTTTACTGTTCAGTTTAGTTAAGTTCCTAGTGGAAGTTGATCTGGCAAGGAATTGGTATGGATTTTACTGTGCAGTTTAGTTAAGTTCAATGTTCTTGTGTGCATGGCCTGTGTTGGAAAAACATTATATTTTGCTGTCCATAAGCACTGATTTAATGTTTGGAAAAGCATTATTTACCAGAAGGGTGCTGGATGGTTTCAGTGGCAACAATTGCTCATTGGTTTTTGACCCAACTGTAGACGGTGTCCTTGATTGCTCTGATGCAAACATGCAGTTTCCATGATGGTTTGGTGTCATGGTTTTGATGTGAAAGTGACTTCAGACATTAGGCAGTTCGATTTTTGGGGGATGGAATCATGTTACATGCAATAGGTTCATATGTATTCGTTGCAGTAATTTTTTTTGTCAGTCTGAATAGTGTGACGTTCCTAATATTATGTATCGTTTTGTGTCGCAATTGTAAAATTTATTCTTGCAACTGCCATCGGTTTTTTATGAGACTAGTGTTTGGGAAATGTTTATGTTGGTTTAACAATCCATTCTGCCAAGGTGGTCTGAGATAAAAACAGAAGACAGAAGAATAGTAGATGTAGTATCTACTCCCTCCGTTCCGATTTACTCGTCGTGGTTTTAGTTCAAATTTGAACTAAAACCACGACGAGTAAATCGGAACGGAGGGAGTACATATTAATACAGCTTCATAGTCTTGCAGTTTGCTTTAATTTATCCTCTTTAGAAAGTATCAATGTGCCAGAACCATGAGCTGGTCGCGAGATCTTATGGGTTTCACCTCTAGCCTACCCCAACTTGTTTGGGACTAAAGGCTTTGTTGTTGTTTAGAAAGTACTCCGTATCAAATATGACTACTCATCTGATAGCCATAATTTCTTTGCTGTTTTATTTTATTTACTAGAAAGGAGGACATGGTACATTCCAACAAGGGTTTAGCCCCTCTGAAGGTGTTGATGAAGGACCTTCTGCTCTATCGAGAAGAATAGCCTGCAAGAAATGTGGCGATTTCCATCTGTGGATTTATACAGGAAGACCTAAGTTGCAGGGCAGATGGTGTCAGGTATTTTCTTTTGGTATATGGCTGTGGTTGCTTTTGATTCTGTGCTGCTAGTAAATGTTCTGTATAAGTTACTTTTCTTCATCACAGGATTGTAAAGAGTTTCATCAGGCTAAAGATGGTGATGGATGGGTTGAGCAGTCATTTCAACCGGTCCTATTTGGGATGCTGCACAAGGTAATATCAGATTATTCCAACTCATGATATGACCAACTGCAAAAACTTTTAGCCACCACAAATGTCTTGTGACTGATGTCTTGTGATATTTACAATTTATGCAGCCCGATCTGCCTCGTGCATTTGTTTGTGCTGAAAGCAGCATTTTTGATGTCACCGAGTGGTTCAGCTGTCAGGTGAAAATTTATATGTTTTATGAATATCTTCTTTATTACATTTGATTGCTCATAAGTTTGATCTTTGGTCAGTACATATCTATGTGTTGTAAGGATGGCTACTATATGGTATGGTTAGATGCTTATCTGTTTGAATCACTGAAATCCCGTGTTTCGTTCATGAGAACTGTGACCAAGAAACTTTGTACTAGTGCAGTAAGTTCAGTAAGGGGATCACTTGCCACTGTTAGTTTGAAGTTTAGCCAAAATCTCTGGGCATTGTCTCCAGTACTCAGTTTACTAGTATTAAGATAAAAAAAAAATACATGGTGGATAGGAAAGCAGTAAACGTACTAAATCATAGCTACAGCTAGAGGAATTTTGCATGGTTTCTGAAATCTGAGGCGTCGAGTGGAGTGGGTCATTATTTTCACACTCCGCCTATTAAGCAAAAAGAGAAGCAAAGTAATTTATGAACTGATACACAAATTTTTGTTTTCTTCTCCAGGGAATGAGATGCCCACCGAACACGCACAAGCCGACCTTCCACGTGAATGCCAGCTTGGCAAAGCAAGGTAGTGGCAAAGGGAGCACCTCAGGGCCAAGGGGTGGAATCCCGAACATGGATGCAGGAGTCGATGAGGAGTTCTTTGAGTGGCTGCAGAACGCTATGCAGTCTGGCATGTTTGAGGCGCAAGGCGACCCCCCTTCTCCAGGCAGCGGAACCCATGCAAAGAGTAGTGGTGGTGGTGGCGGCGGCGGTAGTAGTAACAGGAAAAAGAGGAAGGGCAAGAAGCAGTGGTAACTCACCTGGTCTGGGAAAAGATAAATAAACGACTTTTGAGTGTATCACAAATGGCCAACTTAGTTCGCCCCGGATGCTAAAGACTGGCATGCTGCGCGTACGCTGAGACACCATCTCGAACATCCCGACTCGACTTGGTAAGATTTCAAATTTCGAGAATCGAAATTCAGACGGAAAACAAGAGCATGTATGTGTATGGCAATGCTGGTGGATGTATTGTTACTTGCCTTACAACGAGGCCCAAAAATGTTACCCTAAGTACAAGAAATATATGTCATTATATCTGGAAACTTGTCTATTCTTCTCGGGTCAAACTTGCATTTATTTTATTAATTTTGCTGAAGTGGTAGTACTGGAATGAACAGTAGAAATGTTTATCTTGACTTTGCTGTGGTTCTCATGGTCTTGAACACTTGATACCATACATGATGGTGAAAGCTAGCTGCTGAATTGTCCAGTTGTACGCAGCCACCACTCACCAGTACCATTAAGCTCCCAACCAAACGGCGTAGCAAATGAAAAAAGAAGCTACCAGGCACCACTGGCGACAGTGACGTGCCTCTGCTTAGCCACCGTGGCAGTGACATGTCTCTGCTTTGTGCTTTGCGTGATGATTAAGCTCGATAATGACACAAACCTTAAAACACTTTCCATCATCATCTGGTGAGCTTTAGCATCATGTTTTAAGTTAGAAATCTCAGTCACCTTTTCCAGGACCAATCCAATCAGTCTGGGTCCCGCCTCACTAGCTTTGTGTACAAGCACAGAGATTAGTACTACAAATCAAAATTGTAGCCCTTTATATGGACTACTCCCTCTGAACCCAAATAGATGAGGTATAAACTCAGTTAAAAAGGCAATGCTTTCTAAGTTTGACCAAATGTATACTCCCTCTGTCGGTCTGTCCCACAATATAAGACTGTTTTGCAAGCTAGCCATAACTTGACAAAGGGTCTTATAGTATTATTACCATTATTGAGAATAAATATTCTTATATTATAAGAGGGAGGTGAAGAAAAATATCAACAACTACAATATTGAATAAATATATTATGAAATATATCAAATGTGGGATATATTGATAATGATATGGTATTGATGTTCATATATTTGTATATATGCTTGGCCGAATTTAGAAAACATTGACTTTTTGACTTGATTTATATGCCATCTATTTGAGGACGGAGGGAGTGCAATTTTGAGCTGAGTGATGCGGGATTTTACATGATAAGATTTGATATTTTGTTTTTCAGCTTTGCTAAGTCTCAGTCGACTGAGTCTTCGTTATGTCTTAGTCGATGCTATATTCCTTTGATCTTGCATGAAGATTTGTACAAACTTTTTCCATTTCTTCTTATATGTATATCACTTGACCGAGACCTAGCCACGCCCTTAGTTTTCTCTTTGAGAGATGCATGCAAATTTCAAGAGTTGCCGATTGTCTGACTAATCACGGGAGACGCCAGATCCAAAAAAGCAAATCAAGCAAAACCTCTGTATATTATGATTGCAAAAATAAACAAATTGCACACTGTATTAGTGTGATATTTTCACAAAGCACCCCCGGACAACACAGATAATCCCTGACGAGCCAGGACACGCGTATGCACGCACTGTACACCGTCAGCAGTGACCACAAGCGGCTAGCTTCGTAGTTGTAGTACTGTATTGCACTGCTAGTCGTCAATAGTAGACTGCGCCGGCATCAGCTGCAGCTAATTTTTCGGGCCGCCGTCGTGGGCGGCGGCGGCGGCGCCGACGACCCCTTCGTTGCCGGCGAGGATGAGGTACTTGTCCCTCCTCGTCAGCCCGGTGCGCTCGTACCCGAGCGCCTCCGCCACCCGCCGCTGCACCTCATTGGCCACGGCGCGCGCCTCCTGGCCGCCGCACTCCACGGGGGCGAGGATCTGCACCAGGTACGACGGCACGGGGTTCATCAGCAGGTACAGCGGGTCCAGCATCTTCCTTCCCCCCGCCGTCGTGCCATGGAACATGTCCACCGCCAGGTGCAGCGCCACGGGCACCACGTCCACGCCGCCGGCCGCCAGCTCCGCGAACAGCGGGCTGAACCGCAGCAGGAACGGCTCCCTGCACGTCGTCCCCTCCGGGCACACCACCAGCCCGCCGCGGCCGCCGCGGCGGGCGAGCTGTGCCTGCATGGCCGCGCGGTCGGCGGCGCGGTCGCGGGTGAGGCGGAACGTGGGGATCGGCGCGAGCATCTCCGACAGGCGGCTGATGCTGTAGGTGGCCGCGGCGAGGTCGCGCCGGCCGGCGGCCGCGGACACGCAGAGCGGGTCCAGCAGCGACCGGTGGTTGCACGCGAAGAGGTTGCCCTTGCTCCTGTCCCCGGGGGCAGACGGCGACGACGACGCGATCATGCGGTTGTGCATGCCGAGGGCGGCGAGGAGCGGCACAGAGAGTGAGAACGGGAGAAGCAGAAATACGGCGGTGCGGAGCACGGCGAGCGGCGCGCCGAGCGGGAGCCACACGAACATGGCGAGCGTGGCGGCGGGCGTCGGCCGGAACGCGGTGCGGCCGTCGTGGAAAACCAGGGGCTTCGGGTACCGCCGCGGGTGCAGCACCCCTCGCCGGCGCCGCGTCGACTCCGTCGGCACATACACCTCCTGCATGCATGCAATAAATTGTCAGCGACAGCCCACCAACCAAAGCCGGTCAACGGAAGACTATGCTACACGTACTACATATACACGACATGAAATATTGAAGATATGCTCGAGTTAATCAACGGCCAGGATGTTAACTTAAAAGTAGTTGTAAACCAGGAGTAGCTCTCTTTTCAGAAAGGCGTTGAAGAGCCAGTATCTCTAGCTTTCGTGTACTGCTGGGGACAGCAACATCTGGGATATGATTAGATCCACCCGGCAGTATATAATTATCTTGGAGTATGATTGGGAAAATCAGATGTACATGCGTGCATGAGTTTTAATTTAGGGGCACACCTTCTCACAAGTTCATAGATGTGCATCATGTCAAAAATTTATGCAAAAGTGTGTTTAAAATGCATAAGATGACGAACATATATTCTGTCTACTTTTTCACCGAATATTTGATCATATCATTGCGTAAATCTTTCTATGTTCTTATTAAAATATGATGCACATCATGAAATTAATGAAAGGCCCAGGTGTTAGTGTTACTAGAACCATCTCTCTCATTTTCCGGAAGGTGTCAAACTGGACAGTATCTCTACCTATCGAGTACTGCTCAAGATAGTAACATAGGACTATCTCTCTCATCTCCCGGAAGGCGTTGAACTGGCCAGTACCTCTAGCCATCGAATACTGTTGGGGATAGTAACACAGATCCACCACCACCATTATATAAAGAATGATCGTGATCACATGATGCTGAACATGTACTCCTAGTAGTACTACTATACTACTTTTCTCTTGAAAGCTGACGTTTTGGACAACTTATTTTGGCACGATCATGCACGGCTCTTTCCATACATATCCACACAAGCCTAGCTAACTAGGATACTGTGCAGACACTGTAGGCGGACTGTAGCTAGGTGCATCAGTGCATGCATGCATGCATGGTGGCATGCAATCACTGATCGAGGGTGGTGCATGTGCATGTGCATGCATTCAGTCGGTCGAGTTGACGTATGATCCATGCAATGCAGTTCGACCAGGAGGTCCGACACGGACACGTACGCAACGCTCCAGCGAGACCAACCACTCGAATTAGCTAGGAGGATGCCCATCTCACTCAGGAAAAATCTACTATATATGTGCCGGCATCCATGCAGGAGCTATATATACAGATTTGACAAATTGAACCTGACAGAGAAACATATTTCTTGCTAATAATAGTAACATCAAGTATATGCCACAAGAAATAGACCTGAACTAAAATAGTACTCCCTCCGATCCTTAGCTAGTCTAACTTACTCAAGAGTAACATGCAGCGATGAGAAGGTGTTGCATATTCCTAAGTTAGTACATGCTTTGTTTAAAAAAGGAATTTCAGTCACTTCTGTAAGCAATAGGACCATCAACCATGTAACACCCAACCATCACCATTTATTCCCACCACACCCGTACTTTCTCTCCATTTCTTTTTAGTCCGCATATAAGATTTCAGTTAAGTCAAACGTAGTAAAGCTCGACTAAAATTATAGGAAAAAAATATATCAACATTCATTATATAAAATCGATATCACTAGATGCATCAAACTTTCATGTTGCGTATTTCTAGTATTGTGGATGTTGATAATTTCTTATATATATTTGGCCAACTTTATGAAGTTTGATTCAGACTAATCTTATATGCAAAGAAAAACAAACGGAGGGAGTACTATGCAAATATAGTGAAAAATCGGAACAAAATTTTGCTAGAATTGCACACTTTCGAGACTCCAGTGATGTAGTAGTAGTACTACTACTAGAATTTTGAGTGACTAAGACATAAAAATTCCAGGCTATCTTGTCTAAGTAGACACGCTTGTTCTCACCCAAAAAAGTAGAATACGCTTGCATGCGAATTTCAGTGACAGTTTCTTTCTGTTTATCTTTTCTCCATCAATATCTTGAACAAACACGCACATCCCTTATTTTTTTCTTTAAACTTATACTTATCTCGCTTATTTTCAAGAACATTAATAGCATGCATATCAGCGCCCTCTCGCTTATTTTCAAGAACATTAATAGCATGCATGGAGTAGTAAAAAAACCATTGGTGGCTAACCTTGCAGTACTTTTGGAAGATGTGCTGAAACGAGCACCCCTGTCCACCAATGCCGACGACGGCGCCGCCCTTGGCCCCAATGATCTCCTCCACGTCCGTCCTCCTCGCCACCTCGCCTTCGTCCTCCACGAGACCCAGGTAGTACCCTCCGAGCTCCCTCAGCTCCGGCGCGACGACGGCGTCGACAGCGAGGTACTCCTTCAAGAACGGCTCCACCATCGCCCTCGGCATGCTGCTCACGCACACGCAGCGCCTTCGCCGCCGCGCGGCCCCTGCCGTCGCTGGAGCAG